TTGACTTTGTATGCGTTCTGAACTTATTTTCTCCGTCCATTTTGCTCTCTACCCACATTTCGAACACGTACGACCTTTAGTCGTGCTCTCTTCATTGATAGAGTATTTGGCTTTTTTGAACATCTGTTTTTGTGGCCTTCTTGTAATAACCTCTTATTTCTTGCAAAATTCCAAGGCAGTTTTGGTAGCATGGCCATGCGGACAGGTATATATGGCTTCGAGACTGTTCGGAGTGATGGTGGAAATCAACTTTCATGAAGACTTATGTCTTCAGGACGCTGTGAAAACACTTCACTCCTTATAGGAACAGTTCACGGTTAAGAAGGATCCCATGCTTTTCAACTAGGACAATCCTGTGGCGCCCAAGTATGTCATATGTCTGCTGTTGGGTCCAAGAGGGGCCTAGATGCAGCGCATTCGTGGACGTCCACCCGATGGACGAAGTATTTCAACTGCGTTGTGAAGGTAGTATCATTCAAAAGGAAGCACAGTTTTGATATCCAAACGGCTGGTAACCCATGGGGTAAAGGAGAGCAATTTTCGGCATTTTTGGTTTGCTATACTGCTCTTTACGCAATTGCACACAGCTAAATCTCGCCCAAATACTCCCATGCCGTCCTAGTAATCTCGTACAATCATCCATTATCTTCACAGTTTGGAAGCCCTAAATCCCGTAAATTTTGGGACTTTCTCGGTACCGATGCACTATTCTCCAGGGTAGCCTCGAATGAGCGTGAACGTTGTCATTCAGATTACCCCTCCTTCCTCATCTGCATATAAATAGGTCAACATAACGTGCTTATTAGATTCATTCTATGAATTTGAATATCCTGAAAAGGCAACTGGAATAGCTGACATTCAATTCCTTGAAAGTGGTTGAAAGATAGCAATCATAGGCTTAATTCAGACCTCCCTTTTCACGAAATCATTCTACTTCTCTCCTACTCTCGCGGCTGAAGACGCAGGCGCACTGACTTGTTGGTCCCCCTTTTTGGTAAATAACCATTGTAGCGGTGATTATTCTGTGTTCTACTACAGCTCTGCTTTCCATGAAATGATTACTTAAGGGTACACTTTACCCTAGCAATGTTTTTTGAGATATCCCCCCAGGATGAATCTGTGACCTTCAAGGATAACCCAAAAGATCAAAAAGCGGCAACGATAGGGCGTAATAAGGACTCTGCAACCGACTTAACCGACGTACACACCCGAAGTGGACGAGTTCCCACCGCGTTGCAGTCTGTAGAGGCTATACCATTCGCAGCGGGTGGTACCGCTGCGAATGGTATAACCTACACCTTTCACGCAAGCAGCCTACTGCAGCCAGCTGCATGCAGCGGTGCGCACATTTAAACAACTCGTCCAAAAGACAAGACTAATTTCAAAGTCCCGTGAGTATGTTACACAGTAACCCGAAGACACACTCAAGCGCCTCCAAACACCCGTCACATATACGACGCAACAGAAAGGCAACCCGAGTGAAGCCCACGGGTAGGTCGTGGGGCACTAGGAGAGTTACTGTATCACCTAAGGGGAGTTACCGTTCCCGGGACGCTCAACTCCCTCCAAACTGCGATGGTCGTCACATCTATGTTCGGTCCCCTTTTTGAGCTTTGAATTTCTCTAAAGACCCCGATTTCTGCGTTCTAATTACCACTTTTGCACTATTCTGGACTACTACTTCCGCTGCTCGTCTACTCGGTTTGCCAGTACTCACACTAATTGCCCGCTGTTCCTCTCTTGCTTACTCCTTGCTCAGAGACCCTTTTTGCCCCGTAAAATAGGGGAATTGTGGGTAAGTGCAGTACATTAGGTAGGACAACAAAGTATTTTTGAAAAAAAAATCGTTGAGTGATGGATGCACTGAACGACCCTTTAATGGGGATATCGATTTGCTGGAAACAGGTTCAGACTCTGAACAGGGCATTGCCACCTTGCCGGTCGGGACTCTGACAGACTCCCAAAGCGGCAACAACATAAGTGTTACACCAAGTGCAACCAGTTTAGGTAAACGATCAAATAGCACTTGATTTTTCTTTCGTTGAATGTCCTTGGCGCTACACTGACAAACCAAGGGCATCACCACGAAAGGAAGTTCAAGTGTACCCACCCATATATGCACCGACCTCAAAGGGCTTGTTGAATGAGCATTAGGATCTTTCTGCCAAACATACGCAGAGCTTTCCCGTAAACACCCGGAAGACCTCCTCGGGCGTCTGGCGGTCAGGGGCGCGTTGCATATCGATTCAACAGATGGAAGGCGTTTCAGTAGCAGCTAGTCAGAGTTGTTCATCACATGAAATGAGACTTCAATTCTGGAGATAACGCCCGTCCGTCCAAATTGTTGTCACGTGGTTCACCTATTGACATCCCCTGACAAATCGCCCCAAAACAGATGGGAATAAGCCGGAGAAAACAATTGCGTCAGGCCTACGTCACAAAGTACAGCTGTTTTCGGGGAACTGGAACCATTCCCTTTCAGTATAACTTCATTACACAAGAACCACATACCCAGCTCGTCATAGCTTTGCTCTGTCCTAGGCTGGAAAGGCCGTTCGACGGCCGCTTTGAAGACTGAAATGTACTTTGCCCATACCTCCATTTCCAATTTGACATGGGCTGGGGCCCTAAGCCAAGTGAACTACGGGCGTAATAGGGAACAACCATATGGAGACTCCTATGCCCCCTCATAGCGAGAACTCTCAAGCTTAACCAACAGCCCCGAACTGAGTACGTACGTCAGAGGTCGATGTTCTTGGAGGGCGCCCGCCCCGCCCACTTCCTCTCGTGACAGCCGGGCGACAGCAGCCTCGTTCTCTGCTCCTGCCCGGTCAGGTTTCATTCGAGATATAACGATTTTTTTTTCACTTTGTTCGTCACTTTCCGCATAATCGATCTCATCTCTTACTAGTAACGTTTACTTCTAATCATGTGGCACATTTCAATAGTTATTGGTCGTTTTAATAATTTCCAATAGCTAGTGCAAAGGCAGAAACCTGTGTTGATCATATTCTTTGGAGGGGAGACAACCATTTGTGACCGTGAAGGGTTGTTAATTTCAGTAAGGGCGCATCCTCAGGTTTGCTACGGTCCTTTAGGCGACGTAATGGCTCTTCAGAACTGCCCCTGTTGGTTGGAACACACGGAAAAGTGCGTGCTGGTTTTTGAGTTGTTTACGGAACACACAGAAAGGTGCTCGTTGGTTTTGAAGTTGTTTACCACTTTTCATTCACGTCAATTACATATTACAATCAGAAAATGTCGTGGTTTACCGGTAAAAATGTAGTGGGGGATGTGGGGTACCGTTCCGTTTCAACATTGAGCGCTAGGGCGCAGGGAAGGGGAAGCCGGAGAAAGAAGCCGACTTTACTTTGACTTGGGTGCATTCTTAACCAAGGGAATATACTTCTTTTACCTAAGCCTTGGGAGAAGATGAGCGTCGGTGTGGGTGAGATTCCTCGCGCAAAACGCGGCATAGGGTAGGAATTGAATATTCAGTTAATTCCACCTCCCCGGTACTGCTCTCTTCAGAAGTTTAGGTTAAAAAAAACTGTATTCCTGGGGCTAAAAAACGTCCTAAGCACCCTTATAGACTTGTGAAGTCAACTACCTCTCCTTCTTTGCCCCCCAGCGGTCAATGTTGGAAAAGAGCACTCCCCCCCCCCCCCTCCTCTCAACCCTACCACTCAGCTACGTTTTCAAATGGTTTGCCATTTGAGATTTTTGGAAGTGTTGTGTTTGTGGATATGCTGTTATATGACCCTTTCTGGGGTTGAGGTCTCGCTTCATGTCAAATTTTCTTGGGGCTTTGCGACCCACACTAGTTGGGACAAAGACTTCCCGATGCAAAATACAAATGAGTTCCTCGTTTCTATAGTTATCGGGTGGCCGAAATAACCAAACACGTCGTCGGTAGCATGAGAATTTATGCAGAAAGCTGGGCCGCACCTGGGTTTGGTTACCCCCTTGGGTTTCTTGTGAAGTGGCTTACCCGATTAGCCTTATGCTGAACTGTCTAGGGCAGTTGTGCTCAACTAAAAGTGAAGATCCCATTTTCATGGAAGAAGTTGATATATTTAGGGGGATTTGAAGTTTGGCTGGCCTATAAACTCGGCTTGGCATCCCATTTGACTTTGTCGTTCCGAGTCTTTACAAGTTGGTTGGTGGTATCCTCAAGTTCAGGTACATACTGTATCCACCGATATTCGGAGACGAAATTCCTCAGTGTTATGCCAGGAGTACTTATTTATCGGAACTCTGACCAGTTCTTTTGCGAGTGTTTGTTTGACGGGAGCAACGGAACTACAGCTGCTGCCTCTCTAATTTTTCGATTTTTCGTGAGCTGGTTTATTCCAAAGTATCGCCTCCTGAAGAGAAAACATCGATTACTGCGTCAAATGACTTTCCTTCCTTTAAAAGTAAACATGAAAGGAAATAGGTTGGGAATCTCCCAAACTTTTCTGAAGGCGGGCAGTGGTTGCGCAGCGGAGGGTCCCAACACGATTTGTTGCACTTAGCACGTGAATAGGGCAATCAGCTGAGTCCTGGAGCCATGGCACCCGGACGGGAGAGGGGAGACGGGTGCACTTTCTTCATGTTGTTCCTCTCTATGTTGCATTTGAGTGCTTTTCTCGATATAATGTTGTCTTCTTATTGAAAGTACTAACTTGTAGCTTGTCTACGGTTTGTGTGGGGATGGTTGTTTTCGTGGTTGTTGTCATGACTTTCTCCTCTTCCTCCTCTTCGGGTGTCTTCCAATCGATAAATGTTTGAGGCCAGTCCCACACTTCACTGTTGGGATTGGCTATCACCAAATGACAAGGTGGAAACAGTGTTGGCACGTTCGCTGTGACGTTATCAGTGCTTTGATTGATCGCTTTGGCGGCTGCGTCGTGCGGTCGGCGTACTCCCAGTCATCACTTTTCGCCCGAGTTCGATTTCAAACTGTCCCCACAACATCTTGGATTGCACCTGAGCTCAGTCGATTTTCTTTGCAGCTCATGACTGACATGGCTTCGACATCTGCTGGAGCGCTTCGTGCGCTGGCGATGGAGTTGAAGAACATCGAGTCGCAGCCGTTAGAAGGTTTCACTATATCAGCCAGTGATGACAATTTGTTCGTCTGGACTGTAGGCATTTATGGTCCTCCAAATACTCTGTATCAGGTAATGCGCTAATCCTAATCAGTTATATGACTCAGAAATCTTCAAAGAGAATTTTCAGGGAGGATATTTCAAAGCTGTGATACGTTTCCCACCAAATTATCCTTACTCACCCCCATCAATGAAATTTCTCACAAAAGTCTGGCATCCAAATGTATATGAGGTAAGCATTTTTCTGGAATAAGTGAACTTACAGCTTGTGAATGATGGATGGGCTGGCTCGCATCTAATCGTCTGTCCAATACTATTTTGCAATCAATGCTATGATTCTGTCTGAACTACAGTCCGTCAATTTTTAGAATGGCGATCTTTGCATTAGCATCCTTCATCCTCCTGTTGACGATCCACACAGTGGCGAGTTGCCTTGTGAAAGATGGAATCCAACTCAAAGTGTAAGGTTAGTCAGGTTTTAAGAACTAGTTCCTTTCATTTATCATTATTTGAAAATGTTTGCTGGTTCCGAACCACTCTCCTGCTGGTTTTTACTTTTTTTTAAAATCAAGATAAGATCTAACGTTGACCTAAGGGGCGGGAGCGAACTTTCGAATCTTTCTGAACGTTTACAATGGGCTGATCGATATCTTTTTTTTGCAATACCATTTCCACGTGGTTTTCTTTTCAGAACTATTTTGCTGTCCGTAATTTCATTGCTGAACGAGCCAAACACTTCCTCGCCAGCAAATGTGGACGCTTCTGTTATGTACCGAAAATGGAAGGAAGGAACAGATATGAATTATGCTGATATCATCAGGTGAGCACTTTTTCTCATTGAAATGGGCGGACAGTGAATGATTTCTTGCTACATTAGGAATTTAGCGGCATTTTTTCAGAAAACAGGTTGAGCTCTCAAAGGAGGAGGCTCGAAAGGATGGTGTCACTGTTCCGGAAACCCTTGAAGAGTACTGCATAAAATTCCATCCGCAAAGTTGTGAAGACCAAACGATGGAGTTACTCGATCTAGGTAGGCTTGAGCTTGTTAATTTGGGGCTTCCTGAACTTAGAAATTCCCAGTCAACTTCTTGCATGGTATCGTATAATTCCTAACAATAAAAATTATGTTAGCAGTTACAGATGACGACATGTATGACTACGGAGAGGACGAAAGTGATGACGACGGCGACTATGCTGACGAGGACGAGGACAGCGGGCAAGGGGAGAACTAACACCAGTTTGTAGCATCGAATTGTTTCGCAAGATTTTGCATAATTTTCCCTTTTTTTCTTCTCAGCACAGTTTCTTACCCCTACTGCTGTCATTGTGTTTTTTATAATTGAAATACTCGTTTTTATGGATATGTAGTCTTTGGGTATGTACCATAGCATTGCCTTCTTATTCTCCTCACTCATCATTTCATGTGGACATTTCGTGTGTTGTACTAGGTATATATCAATTGTGCAGCACTTAGACTGTATATTTTTACTATTTGAACTTATTTCCGACTTCTCGTAATCCTCCATCTCAAACCCACCATCGTTCTTTAGGGAGTTTTTATATTGCTCATCGTTGTGAAGATTCATAGGTATAGCATACCCTATCACTGCACTAGTCCAGAATTGTGACATTCTTGTTCGGTTGTCCCATTGGATCCATGTTTTCTGTCCTGATTATGTATACTTCTTGATGTGATATTATTTTGGTTTCATTGGTCATATAGGAATTTTCTTGACCTTCAAATGGTAAAGTTGATCGTCTTAATCTCTAGGAGTCTCTCACTCTCACCAAAAGCGTTTCGCGTCGCAAACGTTCTATTTACTCTATTTACGAGAAGACCAACATTACGTACTTCTAACAATTTCAGTGTTGTTAATATGAGCCGGCGACAGAATCCTTCAGAATTCTTGAAGCAAATAATCGGGAAGCCGGTCGTGGTGAAGCTAAATTCAGGAGTTGATTACCGTGGGATCCTCGCTTGCCTTGACGGGTACGCATACAAACTTGTGCTACGTAACATTATCAGATTACTGTAGGGCGAACCTACAGGAGCCTAATTGGTCCACTTAGTATTCGCTGATCGGATCATCCTTGGCCAACACCGATGGGCTAACTGGGCCTTAATCCTTCTGTAATCGGCTCAATAGTGTTGAACCCATCTAAATGCGAGAATGTTCATTTTTTGGCTTTCACAAGTCATTAGTCGGAATTCATTGCGAATATGAGTGGAATTGGGATGTCTGAACATTTTTTGAAACGAAACTGATCGATTTCGAAAACATCAATCTGTCTAAATAGTCGCACAAACATTGAGGCATTAGTGACGGAATGCAAACTCGGTTCAGTCGAACATTAAAAAACTTTGATATGTTACCTCAATTGAGTGCCAATAAGTCCAATGCTGATCTTTTTACACCTGTAAAAGGGTTTTTTCTGCGTTTCTTCACATGTATGTGGGCGAAAATATTTAATGTTTATAATAAGGGAATTTCCCCGTCAACTTATTTTCAGAAGATTAAAATTACTATAGGCTGTCTAATAAAAAGAAGTTTTGTATTTTGATTTCACTGTGCCGTTATTGTTAGACTTGTGACCATTTAAACCTGGGAGCAAAGCTAAGCGTGGCAGTGTCATTGCCATTTACTCGCTGCTCATCGAACTGAACCCGTCTGTATGACTGAAGCCCTGCATATATGGGCGCTAACTGCTTTTTCGGAGCTACCCAGACCAGTTTACTGATTTATCCATTTTTATTGTGCTCTGAAGGCAATGAAACAATCGTGTGAATAAAACTGGTGGGTAACCCCTCCGTGAGAATTTGATCAAAATACAGTATTGAAAGGACGAGAAGAAGCAACCTTCTTCCACGATCATCCTCCTCTTTTACGGAATATTAGGTCATAGCGATAGGTCATGAAGAACCGATGTTAACATAAATAAAATCTTGCAAATTAAAGGGAGTACCATGAAAAAGAACAAATTGTGCTGCAAGTGCGAAACAGGAAACAAGCATGGCCGAACTTTAGGCGTCGGCGTCCGGATTCGGATAGGACTGGATAAATTGAAACCTGGAAACTCATGTCGATATTTTGGCTCATAGTAAAAGAGAAGGCTGAGAGCTGCAGCGATGATTGGGGGTCCCAGTTTTGTGAATAACGGAGCGTTTTTCAAGGAGTGAATTGCAGGGCATAGGATATAGGATGTCGAACATCTTTTCTGGGTATAATTAGCTTGCGACCCATCTTAAAAAATCTTCCTTCATCCCCTTATATCGTCTGCACCACTATTTGCGAAACCTTCAATGAATTGTTGCGCAAATGCAGAACGGTAGTTGTCAACCATAGTTTTATTTATTCATTTGTGAAAACGATACATATGGGTGTACATGACAACCATAGAAACGAAAACACAGAAAATAACAATAACATCATTAAGCGCTCATAAAAGTTGAGAAAGAAATGGGCAAATGTTGCCGAATGCGTCTTTAGTTTAGCTGTAGGACGTCTAAGAGCCTGAGAATCACCTAATGGTAGTTTCATGTCAGGGGAAGGACAATTTGGGCTGAAAGCCTCTAGTGGTAGAAGGAACGAAGATGAAGAATTTGGAACTAATAATCGCAGATCCGACACTGACAAGTTTGTAAATCATAAATGAAACGAAGAAGGTTCGTCTAGGTTGAAGGGGAGAAAGATCATGATTGTTCGTTGTTTCGGGCTTCGGTGTTTAAGAATAAAAGAGGCCACCTTGATGAGCCAGCAATTCTTTTGAGTGGTTATATTGAACCTTTCCAATCAAAGAGTTTTTCTTCTTCTTATACGGGCAAAAAAAAAACGGTCTCATTTTCAACTAATAGACCAACGAGTTGATAACTTGAATAAATGTTCTATAATTACTGGTTGTCAAACCTTCGAAAATCTTATCTGTACGATGCTGCGTTTTCTTGGATCAAGTCTACGTTGAATTGGAACCCTAAATCCTTGATCTCATTGACCTTAGAGGTCTTCTTCTTCTCAATAAAATAGGTAAACGTCTTTAATCGTTGGCCTTTGCATGAGACAACATTAATTATAAACACGGGCTGCTTTGCCACCATGTCATTCACCTAGTGGAACAGTTGCCATGTGACTCTCAGTCATTTGTTGTTCAGGTTCATGAATATCGCCCTGGAGCAGACCGAAGAGTACAACAACGGCCAGCTGCAGAACAAGTACGGCGATGCGTTCATCCGTGGCAACAATGTACTGTATATTTCTACACTCAAGCGGTAGACTTTGAAAAAGGGGACCAGCACCTTCAAAACCGACAATTCGACGAGTTCTTCAGTTTCAGGTCATTTCAGTGAAGCCACTGCTTGTTTTTCTGACTTCATGTACTTTTTCATAATTGTTTCAATGTGATCTCTAGGGTCAATAAAGATGGGATGCTTCATTTCTCATTGCTATGAAGGAACATTTGTTTCATGTACATTCCTAATCATGTTACTCGAAATAATCATGGAAATACTTTGAGTTATCGGGGCTATCCGATGGCTAACGAAAGAACTTAACCGTTCAGCTCAGTTCCTCTTGCAGAATCGACTGTGTTGTTCATCTACAGGGCCTGTTGCTTGCATTTCCTCCCTCAAGTCGCATGATATAGGAGCCGCCACCATCCACGGCGATTGGGTCCCGCGACGAAGCGCTTGCAGGAGGGTTTCGAAAACTCTTTTATTACCAACAAAAATTCTGTTGCCTTTCGTATTAATAGCTTTTCTAGATGGTTTTAAGCTCTTATAAATTATTTTGGGAGCGTATAGTTGTAAAACGCTCGTATCGAAGTGAAGGTGTTGCTTAGACGTAACGAAACCGGTGTTTGTTAACATTTTCTTTTTGTTGTTCGTCCCCTGTGAGGTAAACTTTTGGAATTAGCTGTGAGTACTCGTTCTGTTTACTACAAGCCTTACTTTTATTTTCGTTACTGTTTGTGCTTGCTTTTTATTTTTGTGTTGGATTTTGGAATTTAATCTTTCTTCTCACGTGGCAAATAATATCGTCAAAGATCCTTCTGGTAAATATCGCTGTTTAAAAAATTTTGCAGATTTTATGATTTCAAAGTTTAATTACAGTGATTGTTTACCGCTGGTGTGTTATGACAGTTGCTGGTTGGAACCTAAATGCGGCGAAAAAGTGCCAGGTATGGTTTTTGTATTACTAGCTTACATATTACCAATGAAATACGTAAAATCATGTACTGTAAAAGGTTGGAAGGGTTATGGTAGGTTTTCCGTAGGATATCTCACGAGGAGTAATGTAACTGAGTACCGAAGTGTGCGATGAAGATACGCTCTTTCGGTGCCACACAGCGATGACGCGAACCCCAATGGGTTTGCTGAGCATTTGTGGGCTTTCGAATAAAAACAGCGTTGTTTCCAGTGACAGAATTGAACGATTCAATGCAATATGTTGCAACGAGGCATCCGGAGTGATCAGAACGATGATGTATTGAGTGCCGATTCGGCTGTGCAACGTGAAAAGGCTGTACGTTTCGAACTTCCTAGATTCTAATTCTGGCTGTATACTAATTTGATCGCCATGCCTTCATCCGGCTTGCAGCACAGCCGTTAAAACACAGGCTGTATGCTTTCGCTCTAGTTGTAGGGTAACGGTTGATGTCAAGGACAAGCCTTGCAGTAAGCCATGGTCAGGAAAGCGATCTCATATATCCAACCAAAAGTTCAAAGGATAGGAGCAATAACAGTGTTTTCCAAATCTTTCCTTATCCGGTTTCTGCACTTCACTGTTTATTAATGCAAAATTCTACAACTATCGTGGAGAATGGGATATTAATTATTTGCTCATTGCTCAGCGCGTCAAAAAGTAATCTATTTTTTTGGGATAATGCTTCTATTTTTCGACTTTACCTTTTCTTTAAAATTTTTTTTTTACGTCGGTGATTTTATTAAAATTAAAAGTTAAAATTTTATTCCTTCACTTTCATGCTTGTTTTCAGATGAGTTAATTGATTACGAGTAATGACTTTTCTAATAAAATGCAAGTTTTCAAGCATAGTTTCTTTATCTATTATCTTTCCATCTTTTTTTGTAATTATCAATTATTAGGAAGTTTTCTGTAATTGCTAAATAGTTTTCTATAACACCGTTACCATCTCCACCGTTAAAAATTTCAACTAGATTCGTGTTCAAAGAAACTAAAGCTATCGAGGAGAGAGTCAGTTATTGGTAATCTTCAACGGCGTCTAACTTCACTCTGTTGGCTTGTTTTCCAATTTCATGAATAATACAGCGATTTTTTTTTTCAGATAGAGCGAGAAATGTTCTCATGCTGTTATTGTGAAGCTCCATTGGAGGCTATAATGTTAGAAACTGATGAAAAAACGGGTGAACAACGCCTTTTGTGGGCGTGCAGAAACATGAAGAAAAATGTACGTTTTTTGCTCACGGAAAATTTGCATGTTTTAAGTTTTTCGTGTCTCTTCCGCCTTGATTGTGCATTATTTGCAGGTATGTTTTTTCCCGATGGGATTACCGAGTGAGATTTTCTTCCTGAAGCGCTCGGCCTTGGAAAAAGAAGAAGGGGTCATTCCTAAACCGGACATTCGCCGTCTACCTAAAAAATTCTGGTAATAGTTCAGTATTACTCATTCAAAGTCATATATTGTTGCCGTAAGGCACATCTTTTTTTGCGGTGGTTTCAGTTTTTTCTAAAATATAGCGTAGCCTTGGGGCGAAGGAACTGTAGGGACAGGAAGCTCAGACTGTACTTTGTTTTGAGACTCTTTTATCTACTGTTCATACTACGGAGGTAGTTTGATGGCAAGTGGTGCATTATCTCATCCGCATGGTCAGGAGTTCGAATCCTGGATCTATTTTCACTAAACCGACCAAGCCCTAACAATCCTAGCCCTTATAAGCCGTATACGCATTCAACAGCGAGAGCAAACGTCCCAGACGGGATTGTTAAACGTGAGAAGACTCTTTTGTCACGGAAAAATCATATCGAAATTGAGGAGTTTCATTGAGGAGCTCGGAAGCGAAAATAGTAACTCCGAACCACCCAATGAACCTGCTCAAGTGAAAGGATCGAATCAGTAGTTGCAGGGCGTGAAGCTCTAAAAAGTATTGCGACGTGGTTGCCATAATGCTAGAAAAGGAGAGCGGAGACCAGAGACACCCTTGTGTTCACCATATGCACGAAATGCGCGTAGATTCTGTATAACCAGCTAGTTTCTTGTATGTTTCTGTTCATAGAGGAATAGGGCTCAACTGTAAGCTCAAAGGCACAGTTCATGATAAAATGGTTTCTTAGATTTTCTCTCCGGATTAGTCAGTGTCCCTCAAGGATAGAAGAAAGACGCTATCGGAATCAAAAACTCAAGAGCTAAGGACTAGTAGGTGCCTCGTTATGCGTCAGAACACTGTCGAAGCGATGCGGATTGTAATATTCGCGCCCGGACCCTTACGTTTAGCACGCAATCAGCTCATCGCTGACGATGAGTCGATGTTTCTCCTGTTCTATTATTCTCTCTTAATCTTTTTGTTGCTGCGGTTACTTAACTAGTTTTCTACTTTGAAAGGCTGGAAAAGGTGGGCCATTTTTGCTGTTAATACTGTTTTTGTTAACTTGTGTTTATGAGAAAATTTCAAAGGACATTTTTGCTTACCGTCAGCTATTCGCTTGAGGACCTAAACCTACGCAAACACTTACTGTATAGCTCGTCAAACACCCGTCTACTTCATTTTCTGGTCTCATTCTCGTCGAGACCCCTTTTAAACGATTTTTTCGAAGCCTTTTAGCACTTTGGAAACACTTATTCATAAGCTTTCTTCGCCTTCATCGCACTATTCACCTTCCCTTTCATTTTTGTTATAATCTGGATAAACAAAAATATCGTGAATTGTGCCCAAAAAATGGTGTAATGCAGAACCCGTCATCAACAGCCTGTCAGAAGAGCACTTTTAATGAGTCGCTGGATTTCTTATTTGTTGAGAGTTGACAAACGACAGCGAGCGGAAAGCGGAGATCAGCTTCATTTCGTTGTTTATACTCCCCTTTGCGCTTCATTTTATTTCAAGTAAGATGTGGAGCCATGATTTCGAAATGTTTGGTTTCATATATTGTTGAACGGCTTTCTATTCAGGGGACTTTATCCTACGGTGTTTGCCGATCAACTTCAATCAAAAAGTCGGACGAGTGATACGCGTGCCGAGACATCGATGTCGAATCACACAACTGACTACTCATCGTGTCCGACTAATTCGCCAACTACTTCAGGCTCTTCTGTATCGTCGGATCATGCTGTTTTTGATCAACTCCTGAAAATGGTGAGCTTTCTTAGATCCGTCGATTCCATGCTTTCACTGCCCATCTTTCAGTCATCAGTCTCCCTTTCGACTTAGAAGGGAGTTTTTTCTTCTAGTCATTTTTTCTTATTAGTCCTTTTCACAGAATCAGTTTTCAGGGTTCCGAAACACCTGTGTGGGGGAATTCCATAAGCAAATCGAAAAGACGAAATATAGTGGGACATCCACATTCTAGTGGAGCATCGAGCAGCGATAAAGGTGATAAATTTACCTTTTGTAGGGTATAAGTCTGGCTGTGGGGTCTACCATTTAACACCTAAATTCATGCTAATCTTCAGATGATACCGAGAAGTCAGCAGTGACGAATTCCACTTCAACTTGCTCTTCCACTGACGCAAACGGGAACAGTGGTGGTGGTGGTGGTGCTCTCGCCGAACTAATTTGTGATCACCTCCAGTACACCGGAGTTGATATTGGGCGTTTGGAGGCACGTAGTGCCATTTCTTCCTTATCTCTTTGAAATACTCTTTTCTGATCTTTTCGAGGTCATGATTAACATTTTTATTAAGGACGACGAACTCGTGAGTAAAATGGCCGGTATTGTTAAGAAGTTGCATAAGGAGAAGCCGTCTCGTGGCAAATTTCCAGGGTATTTGTTTTCATAGAATTTCATTTTGGTCTTCATCGAGGAGAAAGAATAACAATTTAGGAATTTCACGCATGCTGAGTATCATGCTTCTTTGGATTACTTATTTAACCTTGATGTTACGCCTATCAAGCGGAAGCTCAACGTACGATCTGCAGATCTGCCGGTAATACTTACAAACGAATAATCAATATTCCTTTCTTAAAAATGACTTTGATTATTTACACGATTTCTCTATATGCTAAGCGCTCTTCTCCTTTAGCGTGTCGTTGCTTTGATGCGATCGAAGTGTGACATAGATACTATGTTGAACGCCATGGGAGGTTCTACACCTACAGCAGCTCCACCAGCAAAAAGATCAAGAACAGTGCTCTCAAAACAAGATCTAAGGAAACGTGTGGAGTCTATACTGGTGAGTCTAACTCAAGTTGTAATATTTTCTACTAGTTTGGCAACAAAACTCGGCGTCGGAAGAAAAGCCGTTCTGGGACCATTTAAAGGTTTTCCAAGTTAATCAAATGTTCACAACATATTTACCTGGGGATCAGCAGCTCACTCTAATCCTCTGAGCAAATCCCTGATCCTTTTGTCAGAAGTCCGACAGCTGCGACTCAATGAAATCATCGAGTGCCGTTTCTAGATCAGGTTGTGTTACGAACTTTTACCACAGAGGGATGCTGGAAAAGGCTGTGCAGATGTTAGTCAAAACGGGCAACGCTCCGGGCTGTTGAACAACCCATAGCCGAGAGATGCTTTTGTTGTTTGTTTTTGCTTTTGAATTTTTGATGGATGTCAAAGCGAAATTTCGACGTGCCCTTTCGTTTTGTAGGTCCCTGAGTGACGGTTTTTGAAGTCTCTGTCTAATTGCGTTGTTCAAATGCTTGGGTCCATAGGGGTAAGCCATAGCTGTGACTAACTAGTCTACGTTTAGCAACCCATAGTAGATGGGTAACCTCACGTCCCACAAAACTATGACTATTTTTGTCTTACTTCTAAGGCTAATACAGCCTGCACTGAACTGGTTCAACCAATCGTGGACCGTTGTTTGAAGAACAGTGCTTCCAGCGAGTAGGCCGCCGATGATTTTAGCAACTACACTTGCGTTTTTCCATCGAAGTGCCTAGTAGAAGGTGGTGGTACGAATTTGGTATTGTCCAATCATTGACGCCAGTCGCGAAAGCCCCCATACGTGCCCTTATTTACTCATGTGTTGATTGTCCGATCAACGTTTTAGAATTCTAACATCCTTGCTGTCGTGTTCACATTCTTTTCACGAGATTTTCTGCGCTTACAATTTTTTGTTGAGAAGCTTTCTTGCCAACTTTATGGAATCGGATTACGCCTTTCATGTTGTTTTGCAGAACAGCCTAGCAGCACGTCGTAAGGAAGCTGAAAAGCCAACGAGTGGATCAGCTGATGCCACGGCTAACGAAGACGACCCTTTCGGTGCTAAAGAGTGGTATGAAGGAGAGGATGGACCTTCCACTTCTGTCCCAATAGCTTCTCACATTGATTCCACCTCGGCCGAGGAGGAGCGGCTAAATGCTATCGTTAAGGATAAGGTTAGCAACAACTTTCGGGTCTATTGAGTTTTCCCTGGTCATTCTCCTTCTTTATTCAGGTGCGCTCATGCATAGCCAAATCAGCTGCAAGGCGAAACGAACATAGACGCAGAAGAATGCAGGAGTCGTCCATACAGTCTGTACAGCTAAATCAGCAACAACCTTCCTGTGGACCGCCGTTACCGCTTCATTCCAACGATCTGGCTCCATCAGAACATTTCAACGAAGAAGATGGGCTGCTTTCTTTTGATTCTCCCTACGCTGATAACCTTGGCGAAGTAGGATCTGCACTGAGCTTCTCTCATGACGATCTCATTCAACAGTCACATTCTACCGTCGTGCAAGACCTCTCGATCTCAGATACAACCCATTTCCACAGCTCCTCGCCTAATTCTGATCTTGACTTACACAGCCCCGTAGGTGATGACGAGTTCAGCAATCTTTTTGCTGGCTATAACTTTATGTGATAATTTCTTACCTTGTTTTTATTAATGTTGTTGTTATGTATTAGGAATGTGGAAAATCTCAGTGTTATATGTGGTAAATTATGAATTAAAGGGTTTCTTTTCTATAGTTGCTATTCGCTGATCACCTCAATGTTAACGGTGGAAGTTTTATACAGAGGTAGTGTTTATAAAGTGATTTCATAAATCTGTGAAATAATGACGTGGTTATATGCCATATAAAGTACAGTTTTAATTTCTTGTAGTTTTGAAGGTAGCTGTAATTAGTCTAGAAGTTGACCGTTGCGGCTAAACTCTTTTGCTTCTGCTAGGTCCAACTACTTTAGCATGACAATTGCACGAACCCAGTTGAACTGCACTTACGCCGGAATTCCTTTCCCCTCAGTGACGAAGATTGGATGCACGGCTGACAAGCTATCCCCTTTTTTAGAAAAACTGCTAAAAATCCGATAACAAGATTTTTGAAAGGGAATGCTCAGAACTACGGGTAAGCCGCATCCAAGACAAGGCCATAAAGTAGAGTCATTCGATGGTATAGTCAGTACCACCCGTACTAATCCATTGACAGTTTAATTCCTCCCTGTATTGGGCCTACGACTTCACTTACTAAGCGAACTTTTTGATCAGCCGTAATCTTATTGGTATGTACTACTGTTACAGGCTTATAGTAATATCATCGGAAATCGTGGCCCTTTTACATTCATATACAAAAACCCGGTTAGAATCCACGTTATTGGCCAGATGACTTTTCTCGCGACTAATATCGTAATGAAGAGAATAAGTGATCACTCGTCGAATTGCATACCGTGATTCTCACTATATGGTAAATGACATCGAAATATCTTGCCAGATAAGTAATGGCTGGTGACTTCGACTACGAGGTATCTCGGAAAATATGGGAAGCTGCGGTACCGATAGAATTCCAAGTGGAACGTGAAGATGACTCTGGTGACGCTTGTCGACCATCTTACGCCATGCTTCCACGCTGCAGTTACTTCCCTCTTCATCTCAGCAGGGTGAATTTCATTTCGTTAATGGTTGACGAATTTGCATTACCTCTATTACAGATATTGGAACAAGTAAGAGCACGGGAGGAAAGTGTAAAACTGGACACAGAAAAGGTCTGGTTGGAATGCAATGGCATGCCCTTGAAGACCTATTATCCTGTCGGTGTTCTGTTTGATTTGCACCAGTCTTCTGATTCACCTACGGTGACTGTGATAATAAAGTAAGTGACTTTACTAACACTATCAGCTTTTTCGAATTTGTTACGTTCAGAACTACACCCCGTCCAGAAGGAGTGTCTACAGTGACGAAGGATGTGATGGAAGCGATGTTTATACAATCTTTAAAAGAAGCCAATTATCTAAAACGTCGAAAGGATCAGGTTAAGCAGATTTTGATTCAATTTTTTACTCCCAGCTCACACGAAATTATCGAATGAAGTGTGCCCATCGGAATTGCACACTTCATTCGCTCAGTCATCTTATTGTTGGTTGTGAGTGAGCACTGGGTGCAGATTTCTCGGGTAAGTTTGACCGCAGTTATATCTTGCGGTAGAATTCGCTTATCCTTATATCCTTAAAATAAAAGTGTGGTCCTACAAGGCATCGAGGGAGGGGGGCAGGTGAACATTAGAAAAATCATCCGTAATAATTTGACATAGAAGTGATACGTCCTACGTCCCGAACTTGTAATCGCTATGAGTCTGTTCGTAAATACTTCGTTTTGTAAGGTCAACTTCCTATACATAAAATTAATGAGGAAATATTCTGAGAAAACACCCAAAATCACATGCGAATACATTTTTGGTGAACAGATGAATGATATCAAATACTCTTCAGGTAGTCAGCACCATGAAAATTGACGAACATAAACAGCTCTGGTCAGGACTCGTTCACGGTAAATCGCTTACGGTATTCTTGTTCATGTCTTCTATTTATGCCCCTCTCATCAATGCTTTCCAGATCGCTTTGATGAATTCTGGAGTATTAACCGACGTCTCATGGAGAGCACTGAAGAGCGACCTTTTCATGACATTCCCATTCGCCTCTACATCAATGGGCAACCTTTCCGCCAAGTATGTTCTTTACGGTATCTCAATGGCAAGAATCAGAAAAAAAGTGCTGTAAAAAATGTTATAGATCCCGCAACCGCCGTTTGACGAAAATGGCGAGCCTCGAACATTATCACATGCCCTAACCTCACTTTCTCCTGATCTCGTGGAAAACGGAAAGTACCGGTTCATATCGCATGGTATCACGCTCCCATTGGAAACGCCTCTCATTTATTTGGGAAAAAATCTAGCTTATCCGGATAATTTCGTGCATATATGTGCTGTTATGGACAACAGTGCTTGAACAATAATTTTTTATTGTACACAAACAATTAACTTCGAAATGTGCCAAAACTTATGTATGGGGCTCCCTAGAAAAAAAATTCAGACTATTTCGTTCATAATGCATCACCTACAAACAACAAAGAAGCTTCGAGCTAGAAGTAACCGTATTATTAACAAATACCCTACTGGAAGGCAATTAATGAATAAATAATAAATAAATAAATGTCAAGTCTTAATGATTATCTACTTAAATTTATGGTTATTGTCTCTATACTCGTACTGAATTGACGACACTTTATACCGGCAAGGGCAAACATTTTTCTAGCAGCATCATACTGCCATTCACCAGCTGGACGATCACGAAGAAACACTACTTCGGCTATGTGCGACTGAAATAATTGGTATCATTACCTAATACAACAACATTCTGTAGTTGAAAATTCATATCATATTCGTCAAATTGGAAGACTTACTATAGTTATGAAATCTCCCCTCTACTCATTTTTTTGCGGATATACCCAGAAAACATGAAGATAATCTGGAAATGGAGGTGATTATGCTGAGACTTCGCTACAGCGACAATACAGATCAATACACCACTTGGTATTTCTAGGGCGAAAACTCAGAAACCATTTTTATTGTGAATTGTGCCTTTTAACTATGAATAGGTAAAGCAGACTGTCGCCAAAAAGAGGAGTTCGGCATGAGCTGAACAGTTTTACTTACAGGCAGGAAACGTAGTGACACTAGGAATCTTCACAACGGCGAAAGCGAGAACGTAGCTTCCCTCACCCCAACTGGGAAATCAAGCTTTGAGCCAGTAGGCTTATTGTAAGAAGCTCGTTTTTATGAAATTGAAGATAAGAAGAAGAAGAAGATAAGAAAGAAACTATTTCAAAACATACGTATATCAACTCGATATTCAAGGAAACACACCTGTATAATCATTTTAGCGCACTCATTGCATGGCATCATCGTTGTGTACATGGTGCATCCCTCGATGTTATTCATACTTTTGTTTATAATGGCATTCACTTCAGCATGTACTACATAAGCAAACTTGTTCTCCTGAGGATTGCTGCTGCTCTTTCCCCACGGCAAGTCGTCATCACTTATACCTACTGGGAAACCTGAAAGAGCTGTCTTAAAAGAAAGCCCGTCCGTTTCTAAGTACCACCATCAGGATCGGTAGTTTCCTCGGTCCACTACAATCGAAACTTTTCTAATAATTCCTTACCATTGCTCCTATAGACCACTAAATAAAATAATCAACAGTAACTCAAAAAAAAAAAAACTCAAGGTAGAGCGATTTTAGGAAAATAGCAGTGACAATTTATAAGAAAGAATAAAACATACCATTATATCCGGTTCCTATAATCTTGTTTTCACGATTAACGATAGCGCAGCCGACCTGAAAATGTAAAAAATGGTGTGAAACCTGCACTTATACCTAATACTACAAGCAGGTCTTATACCCAGGGTAGGACGGGGAGACGCGAAATTCGACAGAGCCTTTCGGCATCAAATATTCCGTTGCTTGATGAGCAACTTTCACGACTCATTTCTGATAGATGAAGCCTTAGATGAAGAATGGCTGCTCATTATCGAACATTTTAGCTTATACCAACACGCCAGCAACATATGGGAGTACACAGAGAACTATTGAAGGCGATCTATGGATTTCCCCGAAAAACAGTTCCAACGATGGTTCAAAGATTGGAACGCCTGAGCATGGAAGCTGTTCTTCGACTAACACCGTCTCTGTCAGGACACCCAAGGAAAGTTTCCAAAGCAATTGACTGAACTTGTGAAAAGAGGCAAATATTTACGAAATGCAGTAAACGTTCTCAGTCACTGAATACTAATTATTTCATTGGAAAGCTCGAGATTGGACTTGAAATTATGAGTAGGAGAAGTTTTGCCCTGGAAAATCGTACCTGTGTGTTGGGGTCTTTACTTCTCATTGCTGCGAGCTTTGCAACGGCCATAAAATAGTTCTCCCATGATAAATAGTCCTTCCTTTTACCTGACGCTAAAATCCAATTATAAGCTGGTCCGAGGTGAGCAACAATTCAAAATCTATCAGAGTAAAATTACGGAAACTTTCCGGAAAAGCTCTTCTCAACAATACGAAAGACGTCAAGCATTCTATCATGTCCCTAAGGAATAGCTGGTGTTTTTACAGGACACCAAAATGTAAACGATGATGATGTTCCCAAGTTTTGAAAGCATTGTGACAACCAAATTTTTATAGGACTTATCCCCTCTATGCAGAATTACGACGTATGCAATATAGATAAAGATTTAGTTCTAAAGAGAACAAGGTGTTGTAACATTGAAAGTAAACTTTTGGCTCAACCAATTGGGAATTCCATATAAGAACTCAAATTAAAAATAAGCTCAAGAAAATAGAACACTTATATCATGCTGAAAAGCTATTCAAATGGATACAGGCGGTAATAATAACCTGTTCCTTCCTGGATCGTTACGTCTTTCAAGCCATCAACGATACTGTCGTTGTCCTCAGGACCTGCTTGTTCCACTCCGTTGCTTGACGAGCTGTAAGCCTCCATAGTGCAACCTTTGATGCAATTTTTGACCCACTGAAAAAAGGGTTCACTGTGTTGTTCTTCTTAAAAGACTTCCCAACACAAGGAAAGCTTCACAACTTTTGTATGAAATGTAAAACTGATGATAAAGTAAAAGAAAGAAACTGCAAAAGCGATTCGGAAAAACGGCCAAGGGCAAACTGCGAAGTTCAAATGACCTTTTTGTTTTGCCGTGAGTCAGATAAGTGACGCTGGAGCAGAGAATTGACATTTCCACTACCGAGTAAAAGTGGCAGTATTTCCCCGATTCCCCACGGCAAACGGCAGTGGTTCCGCTGCGGCTACCGTATCTTTGCACTGAGGATTTGATCCATTCCCTTCAAAGCGCGCGATCGGGTGCGGCAAGCGCGACGCTTTTTTCGGGGAGAAGACACCACACCCGCTTGGGCGGCAGCGCCGACATCTTAGACGAACGAAAGATTTTAAGTCAATTTATACAAAAAGATCAACTACTAGTTCTGTATCTAAAACTTACATTGGGAAGCAAAATGCCGAAATCCACAAGAAGACGATCTTGAATATGGGGAGTTCGGCCAAATGCTTCTTCAGCCCATAATTTCAATCGTAACTCCTTTCCTACTGGATCTAATCAAGCAAAATTTCAATATGTATAGCTTGGGCTTATTGTGGATATTGGCCACTAGTAACCTGCAATCTGAACATGTTCTAGATATCCTAAAGAGCTTAACTCAAAATCAACTAGAAATGTGGACATTGGCCATTCTGGGAGTCCTTTTTTGCGATGTCTTAAGTGCTATGCCGAACACCTTGGATGGAAAAAGCGCACATAAGATGCGAATAACTGCACACGTCGCTAACTTTGCTTTTAGCAAAATCTGCTGCCGCATAAACATCTTATTCCAACTAAGTGGATATTGCTGTTTGCCGTCGAATAGTGCTGGGTAGGGTGAAATATGCTCTAGTTAAACATGTCCAAATTTTACGCGATTTGGTCTACTAAGAAAAAAGTTGTGAAGGAAAAAGCGTGAAAGCACTTTTGAACATTTTTGAGCGCTACTGTATATCGACCACCTTTTGCGTACTTGAATTTTAGTCACTACTTAGGTCTAGAAATGGAATAACGGCAGGCAAAGATCAAAATTTTCGACACCTTTTTTTTCGGCTTTCTTAGATTCTTATAGGCCTAAAATCTGCTGAAGAAGCTCAGTATGGAGAAGGTGTCATAGGCTAGCCTATGGCATGCGAATGTTTTGGAGATTTTGAAAATGGCGATTTTGACCAGAAAGGAACGTCGCGAACACCAAGAAGCTCCACATTCCCTGCTGCTCCGCGTGAAAAAGGCTATGTAACTGGATAGAACCCATCGACAAGGCCCTACTCCTTCAGAGTAATGTCTGGCCCATGCTGTACAAGTCGTCAAAGTCCACTCCAAAAGCTCGAATTCTAGGTCCTGGAGCATCGGTCGTATTGTTCGGTTCCTCGCCGACGGGTTATTACCTTTCCGATCCCTGTTGATCCACATGTCAAAAGTCCTGAGGAGCGTTATCTCCGACAGAGGAATGGATCTGGAGAACGGACCACCAATTCTTTGATACAATCGGGCCATTTCTGGCGGAACCCCATCGAAATATACGTTAGGCAATGGGAAAAAATCGTAAACAGATTACTAAACAGGCTATTACGTAGTGAATTGTTCATAATTATTACCAATGATTTTATTCAGATAAAACTATTTGCTAGAAAGTTCACGAACTTATTCCCTACTCTAACAGCTACCCAACAGAGAACTCCCAATTCCAACATAAACACAAGGCTTCAAAACCGCAAGTCAGTATGGATGGTGTTAGACGACATGATATGATCCGTCCGTCTTTCAGCCCCATTTCACTTCATCCCGTGAATGCCGATGCAAAGCTTTCCAGTACGTGGGTCCCATCGTTCCAATCGCAAAGTTTAGTTCGGGCTTCCACACATACGAATCGAGTACTGACGAAGACACCTGACAACTCTTCCGTCAAGCTTCAGTAAGTATTATAGTTCTTCTCCCGTCTGAAATATTTTGATGAGGCCCCACTTGATCTTCCTAACTTTATCATCAGATCTTCAGTGGCATAGTTCTCCCCGAATTCCCACGACATGCGGCATTGGGTCCACTTTAACCTTGTATGGGAATTTATCCCCTCCCCTCATAGCACGCCACTATGCGCGGTCGGGTGCGGCGAGCGCGACGCGATTTTCGGGGAGAAGTACCCTTACCCTAGGTCTTCAATATACGCGACGATGCAAACGCACGTGCATTGAAAGCACACATCGCCATCTTACCAGTTCTTCGTTTTGGCTATCTGTCACGCCCTGAGATTTTAGCAGCATCCACCTGTTTTCGGCTGAACCGCCAATACACCTTCAATCTCCGAACACACCCCAGATAGGAGTTTCTAATTCATCCCCCAGCCACCTGGGCTTGCTATGTCAGACTTACCTACACACACATGCACACACACATCAAAAGCACCTACACATACATACACACACAGTGCGGACATACAGTTAGGAGGTTATTTCTGATGCCTTCATATGTCCTACCGCCCATATAGGATGACACTTGAGCGCGGATTCGTCGGAAGACATATCAAAGTGATTTACTCGTAATGACATACGAAAGGGAGCCAATCAACGTAGATTTCCATCTTCAGATCCCATCACAGCTACACATCCACTTCTGAGTAGAATTGTGTTGTTGTTTACAAATTTCGATTGCAAAAGGTCACTAAAATGGAGAATGGTAAGTTATTTACTACGAACGAAATTAATATATATATGTTCGCTCTGTCCTTTCAGTTGGCCCTTTTGTCGAACCTGTTTGAGAAAGGAAAAGGACAACTTCAATAACACCTATCCGTCCCGCTATGGGCAAAATACTCTTTCAGAAGGTCCTTGGGACACCAACTCGGATAGGAAAGGCAGACAAATCGTGTGTAATTCTATCGTTGTAATAAATCTATGTAGTTACCCTTTAGAACCTTTCGGAATGGTCCCACACCCGGCCCCGCACAATTCCACTCTGGGCAATTTTGTCCCAACCACCCTGCGTGCCTTCCCATGACTCTGTTTCTATAATTCTGCCCCGCTACGTGATGTGTTGCGTGTCTGGGCGCTACCCAATGCTGGTGATTCCTCGCCCCCTCGCCTCCGACATATTTGGAAAGCGACGGGACGCAACACCAACCTCACTCACTATTTGATCGTTGTTCCCTAGGCCAGCCAGCTCCCGATCGTTTACGGGTGATACTATGATCGTATGCGGAAGTCCTTACCTTATTTCAGATTAAATGCAGTTATATTTAGCTCAGCTTCAATTCTCTTTACGTCGATGTTTGCTGAATAGGCAGTGTTCATAAGTTTGTATAGGGACGGATGAATGGCCTGGCAACATTTCAACTTTGCTCTCTCTTCACATTTTTTTTT